CATCCCTCTTTCAGTCACTCTCAGTTGTGCTGTTGTATGCATCAGCAACCTCCTTCCAGTAGTATTCTCCCTTCTTTGCATTCCCATCGATAGGATTCACAGAGTTGCGCAACCAAGCACTCACCTGCACAAAGGAAGCATAAGGTTAGATTTGACTAAACAAAAGACAAGATGCATGTCCAGGAGTATAAAAATAGGAGAACCCAGCCTAAATAAATTCTTAGATAGAAAGACATGAGATATCTTTGATGTCTACCTAACAAGAGTAAGAGGATTTTGGGGACTTACCAATCTGATATCCTCAACTTTTGTATAATACAACCTGTGACTATCTTCATCATCTGCTTCCACATCAATTGTAACTCGTTTTCGCTTGTTCGATGGAGTTGTGGTCCTGGGATCAGATGGTGATGGAAGAGAGTGGTGCTTGGCTGGTGGCGGCGGTGGCTGCGTGCAGAACATTGGATATTGGAAACCAAGTTGCTGCGGGGCTGGCAAGGTGAAGTTGGGGTGACTTTGGTCTTGAAGGAAGCTCATGAAACCATTAGGAGGACGATATTCCATTGGACCTGAAAGAAAAAAAATATTGTTTGTTATCATGATAATTAACATGCCCAGAACAAGCAAGTACTGAACATAAGTGGTATGCATCTAGAGTACACTTAAAGATGGTCTTAAAATTCTTGACAACACATACAATTCAAAGATAGTCTTAAAACTCTTGACAACACATACAATTCAAAGATAGTCTTGAAACACTCTGCTCTCTCTCTCTCTCACACACACACACACACACACACACACATCTAACTTTTTGTATCTTCGCTGAATTTCTTCCAAATATGCTCAACCAAATCATGCTTGAGGCGATTGTGCATGGACCGGTCACGTATCTCAACATCTCTTCTAATTATGTCGGCGAACAAAGGTGTAGCCCCACTAATCGCTGTCGGTGGCAGAGCAGTGGATGAAACCAAAGCTTCATTCAGATCGAAAGGCAACTCCTCTCCCTTCTCATCTTCGAGTATCATGTTGTGCATGATCACACATGCTTTCATTATGTTGCAGATATCTATTTGATCCCAAAGACGTGATGGTTCTGCCACAATTTTGAAGCGTTGTTGTAGAACTCCAAATGCACGTTCAACATCCTTTCTCGCACCTTCTTGTTTCTTCGCAAATAACTTATCCTTTTCAGTTTGAGGCAACCAGATGGTTTTCACAAAAACAGCCCACTCCGGATATATTCCATCTGCAAGATAATAACCCTTCTTGTATTGTCTCTCATTGACATAGTAGTCTACCCTAGGAGCATTCCCTTGCAACGTTTCAATGAACAATGGCGACTGATTGAGCACATTGATGTCATTGTTGGATCCTGGAACACCAAAGAAGGCATGCCATATCCAGAGATCATGGGATGCTACAGCCTCAAGGATGATGGTAGGGACACCGTAGTCACCACGTGTAAACTGCCCCTTCCATCCAACCGGACAGTTTTTCCACTCCCAATGCATGCAGTCTATGCTTCCTAGCATACCAGGAAAACCATGTGCTTCGCCAATTTCCAGTAGATGTTGAATGTCTTCAACAGTTGGCCTTCGCAAATATTCTCCACCAAACTTGGCAATGACCCCCTTAGCAAATTTCTCAAGAGACTCGAGTGCCGTAGATGCACCAAGTCTTACATGGTCATTTGTTTTGTCGGCAGGAACACCATACGCCAACATATGCATGGCTGCCGTGCACTTCTGTAAAGGTGATAGACCTGGACGGCCCAGGGCATCTACCCTTTGAGTGAAGTAGGGAGACCACTCACCAAGAGTTTGAACAATGCGTAGAAAGAGGGGTTTTCCCATGCGGAACCTTCTACGGAAGTAGTAATCAGGATAGGTAGGATTATCACAGAAGTAATCTGCTATGAGAAGTTCATTGTAAAATTCTCTCTTCCTGTCAATATATGTCCTAGGGGCTGACTGACGCCTAGTACTTGGAGCTTCTAGTGTATGATGAATGTTTGTGGCTATTTGTGTAGCAAAGTTGTTGAGAGTATTCTGTTGTGCCAACTAATCTTCTAGAGAGAAAATTTCTGTTGGGTCAACGGTATCATCTTCGAACTCATCGAAACTCAATTGTGACATGCTGCAAGTTGAGCTACAATTTAAAAATCAAGTAATAAGAATTATGCACACAACTACACATGAAGCTATAATATGGATGACAAGAATAATATTCATGTGCAAATAGCATACACAAAACTACCAAAGAACAATAAAAAGATAGCAAAGTGTTCAAGTGTTCTCAATTCTTTATCCTACCAGGCATTTCTCAAAAGATATTAAAAAAATCCACGGATATGGCTGCCTTCAGCAGACTAACACCGCTCTTTCTTTATCAGTATATGAAGCTAACTCAAGAGACCAAATTGACCAACGAACATAGATGTTATAACAGTCAGATCTCTGTTCAAATTTTCTCAGTACCAAAACACCTTGATGGCAGCCATGTTTCCTGAATAAGTCTAGTACATCTAGCAAAAGAATTCAACATCTGCACCTAATATAGCCACTACTAGTACCAGCATCCCTGTGATTATGCTAGTCTAATAATATACCAACTACTAGTACATCTAGTAAAAGAATGAAACATCTGCACCTAGCCATTAGCAAACAAATACGAAGCTAGCATGTACAGATCTATCTCAGAATTGCAAAGCAGCATAATTTTCTGCAAGCAACATAATTTTCTCTTCACAATCTATATAATTTACAGACCTGCAATCTACGAGCAGCATAATGTACAGGGGAATCTATATTCACTGATGCAAAGAGCAAAGTACAAGTGCCAAGTAATCTATATAATTTCCTCCACAATCTGCAAGCAGCATAATTTTCTCTTCACAATTGCAAAGAGCAAAGTACAAGACTGATCTGACATGTTTCTCTCAGGGCTAAGAAGAGAAAAGATGGGGATTTGGGGATTTCCACAAGCATGGTCGCCTGACTCAAATGGGTAGGTAGAACCTAAATCACACACAGGGGAATCGATCTTGTTCTTGGAACGAATTTATTCACTGATGAATCACCATGAATCTCCATAAACCATTGAACCTTAGCCTAGTTTAATGAACAAAAATCAATCTGGCCATCATAGGGACGAACCAGCCTCATACCTTGCTGCGAGAGCTGGAATCGACGATGTCGACGGCAGGTTGAGGACGAGGATGCGCCGCCTTCTCCTCTCGTTCGCACGCCGGCCGCGCTTCCGCTCCCTGGTTCACGCCGCGCCTCTGCTCCTTGGCTCGCGCCCTTCCTTCTCCCCTTCCCGCCCTTTCCTTCTCCTTTCGCGCCTTTCCCCTCTCTCGCTCGCGGGATTTTTTGGGGCGCGCGTGGTCCCGAATCGAGTGGAGCGACGGACCTCCCACCGCGTCGCCCGAGCGGCCGCCTCGTTTTTCGTCAGGGAAGAACTCGGTTCTTCTGCAGGAGCCGGTTTCGCTCTGCAGGCCACGATTTTGGTGTAGGTGGCACTCGGCAGGAGGATGTGGCACCTAGGGCGCCCGTCTAGCGTGGTCCATTGGCCATGCTCTTATATCCATCAAAGCATATCCTGACGCAAACCGCTGTCTCAAAAATTATAGGGAAATGTTAACGCTCACACGTGTGGGCGTTTGCACATCGCCCACACGCCTCCATCACCACTCATTTTGCCACATATGAATAGATGACATCAGCAGAATTTTTTTTGGTTTTCGGCTTAAAAATGTTGTATCTCCTAAATAAAAAAGCGAACTAAAAATCCGTTTTCACCATTAAATCTGACTCGACGAGATCTTCAAAACTAGACCCCATGTTGACATGTTTCGATGAATTATTTTTTTTGCCAGAAGTTGCCACGATGTTTACACTGTAGTTGCCATAGGGCTTAAACTAAAGTTGCCATGTGGCAATTTTAGTTTGTAGATCATGGCAATTTTAGTATTTTGATGATGGCAACTCCAGTACTTTGACCATGAAAATTATTTTTTGTATGAACCATGGCAATTTTACGTGCATGTATCATGGCAATTTTAGTTTATGGTTCATGACAAGTCTAGTTTCTTAATTCCCCGTTTTATAAATGTCAAAATTTACTTTTAAATGTAGAAAAAAATAGCTGAAACATATCATGGCAACTTCAGTGTAAACATCATGGCAATTCATATGCAATAGACATGGCAACTTTTAATCAAAAAAAATTTCATCAAAACATATCAACACGGGATCTAGTTTCGAAAATCTCATCGCGAGGGATTTAATGGTGAAAACGGATTTTTAATCGGATTTTTCGTTTAAGAGATAAAACATTTTAAAAACTGAAAATCCAAAAAGATTCCTGCATGCATGCATGCGATGACGTGGCAATCTGTTTACATTAAAGACGTGTGGTGCGTCTCCCTTCCTGCCACACGTGTGGCAGTTAGCGCGACCCAAAATTATATCCATCAACCTGTGGTTGAGTTGGTTAGGTGGACAGTGGTATCCCGAACCCACCAGGGTTCAAATCCTGGTGCTCGCATTATTCCTGGATTTATTTCAGGATTTCCGGCGATGCGCTTTCAGTGGGAGGAGACGTTCCCTTCGACGACGAGGCGCCTACGGTGACTTCGTAAATCTCAAAATGATATGCCGGCTCAGTCTCTCAAAGGTGCTCATAGGGGTAGGGTGTGCGTGTGTGCGTTCATAGGGATGAGTATATGCGCGTGTATATGAGTGCTTGTTTTTGTATTGATGCTAAAAAAAAAGCATATCCTGACGCAAACCGCTGTCTCACCGTAGCGCTGGCCGCTGGGCCATCGGCCGGTGTAAACAGCGCACCACGGCACACGCCGCCCCTCCCAGCTATTCTCTCCCTCTCCTCCCGACCCGACACAAGCCGAATTCCCCTCCTAACAAAAGCACAGCGTCGGCGTCCCCTCCAAACCCTAGCTCCGCGCGCGCGCGAGTTGCGAGGAGGGCAGGAGGATGGACGGCTCCAAGAGGTCGCAGCTGCGGGTGCGGCTCCGGGTGACGGCACGCCGGCGGGGCGGCGATGGAGCGGACAGGGCCGGGCCGGGCGGTGGCACTGGGGGCGAGCGGAAGCGGCGCATGGACGCCCCACTCATCAACTCCGCGGCCAAGCTGCAGCGCCGCGAGATCGGGGGGCGGCAGCTCGCCGCGCGCGGCGGTGGCGCCGCGGCCGCCGTGCCTGAGCGGTTCCGGAACATGCAGCTCCAGGTAAGCTACCGACCGCGGCGTCCTCCTGCGCGTTTTTGGAGATGGTGTGGCCGGTGGTCTCCGGATCTCTATGGTTTGGCTTCTCGTTGGTCGTAATTGAGGAGGTGAAGCCATCGTTTTGTGGTGCCGTGAATGGTTTGGGAGGCAAAATTTATGGGGAGTTTTGCCTGAGTGTGACTTTCTTTTGCGTTAACTTTTAAGGTTGTGATCCGGCAGAAGTTTCGGTTTTCGGGACCTAAGTTCGTTGAGTTCATACGGAAAAATTTCAGATCTTGAGGGTTGTTCTGAGGGTTCTGTATTGTGTAGGTAGTGTTGAGACTGTTACTTCTGGCATGCGGAGTTCCATTTCAGATAATTTAATTGCCAGGATCTGGGCTATGGCTACTGAATTGAGTTGTGGCGTCCCCTGTTAGGATTGGATCTTTGGCATTTTGCTACGGATTATTCAATAAGTGAACCAGATGGTTTAAAATGACATTTCATGAAATGGTTTTAAAAGGATCTTCCAAGTTCCAATTATCTCAATACGCTCTCGTGCGTATCATATATTAAAGGGGCAGGAAAGGGTTACAGAAACCCTGCCGCCAGGGTGGGATTGTTACATGGTAGCCTGCCCGCTACCACTCCACACGTCCTACATCCGACTACTTTGGATACACCCACCTAGCTATGGCCGCGAAGAAATTCGCGTGATCACCCTTAAGGATCCTGGCCGACTGCCAAACATGCCCCTCCAAAGCAATCCGACGTTTGACCTCCCGGAATGACGGCAGGGCACTGTCAAAGATGACGGCATTCCTATGCTTCCATACCTCCCACAGCTCCAAAGTGATGAGGGTCCCGCAGCTCCAAAGTGATGAGGGTCCAGAATGGAAACGATGGTGTTCGCCAGCACCATCCTATCTAACTGCACATATAATACTGAAGCAACTTTTTACTAAGTAGTGATGTCTGTAATTTCGGAATCAATATTCCGACGCGAAGTACTACCCCTGTTTCTAAATATAAGACGTTTTTGGCAGTTTTAATTGAACTGCCAAAAAAGAAGTACCCCCCTCCGATCCAAATTAATTGATGCACACTTTTTTTGACGGGTTAATTGACGCAGACTTAGTACAACTTTGTACTAAAGTTATACAAAGTGTGTGTGGTTATACTAAGTGTGCGTAAAGTTGTACTAACTGTGCGTCAATTAATTTGGATCGGAGGGAGTACCACTAATTATATTATATCATTTTAACCATATGCATTTAGAGTGTTTGCTTTCTTTCCAAAATAAGAAGTACCTCTAATTATATTATATTGGAGGAAAGGAAAAATGGCCTAAAAAAGAGGGATGGTACACCGCTGAAGTACATGTCCGGGTCACGCCTATGTATATGGGTTATACTAGAGAAGAATTGAACAGGGCACCTTATCCTATGTAGCCATTACTGGTTGAACTTGCCCGCCAGTGCAACTATGCACAATAACACACCACACGAAATTTTGGATAGCTGGAGTCTGGAGACTGCTTCAAGTCACTCGAGTTGACTCAGTTTGCCACCTTCATTGACCTGGTTAGAGCATCTCCAACCGGGGACCTCAAATCCTCCTCATATGTCTGGGTGGACAGCCCGGATAGTGCTCGGACAGGAGAAAGGAGGAAAAAGGCTACCCAATCAGACCTCATAAATCGTCCTCGTATGTCTGAGCTGTCTGCGAACCTCAAATCCAGTCCATATGTGGGGAGGAAATGAGGGCGCCTGGGCGTGCCAGGACAGCCTGCCATGTCGGATCCGGACCACCCTGGACCACTTTTTTCTTCTCTCTTTCTCTCTCCATCCCCACCAATCATATGGATGTGCCCTGACAATTTGGGGGGACACATCTGCGTGCACGGACAAATCGGTGTTCGAGACGGACACGCCCGGACACTGACCGGGCGTGTACGCATACATATAGGGGGTCATATTAGGCATGTCTGTTTGGAGATGCTCGTACAATTTTCCGTTGCTTGTTGAAAAGCGTATGTTTTGGGGGTATTTTTCAGCCTTAATAAGCTAGCTTAAATAGCTTGTTACTTGCAGAAGACTGGATTTGAGCCTCGAAGCATTTGTGATTGTACATCTCGACGTGGCTATTCTCTACGTTAGATAAGCTTAAACTGTGTCACTTCCATGTGATATTTATAATGCTCTAGACAACTCAGTGCTGACCTGCTGGATCCTGATTCCTTATTTGCTGAATTAGTTGTTCTATTGTTTTTTCCTGAACTTCGGTTCTTGTAGTAGAAGACCCAAAATGGGCATATCGTTACATATTTAGCTAGTGAAATTTCAGCTAAGGTGTACAACTTGTGTCTATATGTAATTTGGTATTCCCTTCACAAATATAAGATTTTCTAAACTTTTTTCTGAATTGGATATATGTAGACACGTTTTAGTATGTTTGTTCACTCATTTCAGTCTGTATGTAGTCCATATTGAAATATCCAAAACATCTTATATTTGTGAATGGAGGGAGTACTAACTAAGACTTCCAGTATGTGCAATTACTCACCTTTTATGTTATTCTTATTTGGGAAAAGTTACATTATATTTTCCTCTTAATATGAATCATCTAAATAAGAGTAAAGTGACATCATAAATAGCTTCCAGCATGTGTAATTTCTTATCCTGTATGGTGTTCTTAATTGATTATAACTACATTAATCATCTAAATATGAGTAGACTGACATTATTAATATATATCTGGTGCAGGAAGAGTTTGACACATATGATCATGATGCTCACCTATTTGTGAAGCTACAGTTTCTCAAAAAAAGATCCAAAATTATTGAGATCGTCGCAGCAAAAGATATTATATTTGCTCTTGCTCACTCTGGGCTTTGTGCTGCTTTTAGTCGAGGTAGGTATTTGCACCTCCTGTAAAACGTGTCTATTTGACAGGCGGTGATGAAGACCAGTGATGTTATTTGACCTCTTGCATTGTGTTTTTGTTTCTGCAGTAACAAATAAGCGGCTATCCTTCTTGAATTTAAGCCCGGACGAAGTGATCCGGAGTTTGTTCTACAACAAGAACAACGATTCACTTATTACTGTCTCAGTTTATGCATCAGACCATTTTAGCACATTGAAGTGCAGAACAACCCCAATCGAGTAAGAGCATATGCCATGAGAACTTCCCAAATTGTGTATAATAATGCCTTAATCTGTAACTTGTTAAGAAACACTCTTATATATACTTTGCTGTTACCTGTGATTTTCTAGATGTACAAGTTATGCAATCGCATTTTTAGTTGCTTTTTACTTTTTCATGATAATGTTGCTATTTTCATTGAATACAGTAACTTACTAGAGTTCTTATATGTTCAATATATATGTGTTCTTTCAGGTATATAAGGAGGGACCAATTAGATGCTGGGTTTCCTCTTTTTGAATCGGAATCTCTGAAGTGGCCTGGCTTTGTTGAGTTTGATGATGTAAATGGAAAAGTACTCACTTACTCGGCCCAGGATGGGTATGCCTTCTTAAACATTCGTCACATTGTAATGTGCACTAAACAATGTTCACTGTTGTAATGGTCATACTTTTTCTGGCAGTATCTACAAGGTTTTTGATCTGAAGAACTATTCCTTTCTATATTCAATACCTGATACCAATGTGCAGGAGATAAAGATCAGGTCTGCACCCTTTTCCTTTTTAATTATATTTTTTGTTTTCATATTCGAACCATTTCAAGTTACTCCTTCGATTTCTCCTTTCAGTCCAGGAATCATGCTCTTAATATATGATCGAACGCCAAGTTATGTTCCTTTGAAGATATTATCAATTGAAGATGGAAAGCCACTGAAATTATTCAAGCACTTGTTGCACCGCGGCAAGAAAATTGATTTTATTGAGCAATTCAATGAGAAGCTCCTTGTGAAGCAAGAGGACGAGAACCTTCAGATACTTGATGTATGGCACGATACATGAGTTTATTATACTTATCTTGTAACACTTACTGTTTTGTAAGCCTAATAGCTTCTTCTTCATGAAGGTACGAAGTTCTGAGCTAATTGAAATCAGTATTGAGAAGTTTATGACCCCGTCAGCATTCATTTTTCTGTATGAGAACAATCTCTTCTTGACATTCCGAAACAGAACAGTTGCTGTATGGAATTTCCGAGGAGAGCTTGTTACATCATTTGAGGACCATTTGCTATGGCATCAAGATTGTAGCACCAACAATATTTACATCACAACTGACCAGGATCTGATTATATCCTACTGTAAATCCGATGCAGCGGCTGATGACGGTACAGGTGCACCCTAATTTCTTCTCCAACAATTAAATTGCATTGTTTGTGTCCAATTGCTTCCTGTCATTTGGATGGTCTGCCCACAGTGGCAAGTTGTACTTGCATGTATGCTCTGTTATCTACGGATTGCTAATATCAATATATTGGGCTGTTACAAAGATAAGATATGGTATATGACCAGATAAATGTGATTAAATTCATTTGGTTTTGTACAACTAGTTATGGAAAATTATCTTAACTCAAGTGATGCACATGCAGCTTCTTCAATTGGATCCATCAACATGAGCGACATTATGACTGGCAAGTGCATTGCCAAGATTGCAGCGAATGATCCTGCACTTACTATCGCCCCTCGCAAGAATGGTAGCCCTTCAATCTGGAGTAGTATCCCAGAAGCTCTGGAGGATGTCACAGCACTGTTCTACGATGAGGACAGGAACGAGATCTACACTGGCAACAGTCAGGGGCTGGTGCATGTATGGTCCAGTTAGGCAGTATATATATACATGTCACTTTTTGATCTGATGAGAAGATTGGATGCACTCAGTGCTGCATTCTGTATCATCTCCGGGTTTGGCTATCTCTGCAGTAGAATGTAATTCCTGGGGGGCAGTATGAGAAAATGTACTTCCCTGTAAATATTTTGTATGATAGTGTCATCTACCATGCTATAGTTAGTTTAGAAAAAGCTCATCTACAGCTTTCTGTAGGAACCTTGTGCTATTTTTCATGTATGTCCATGAAATGATGCGATCTTGACAAATATCCATGTTTCCTGACTCAGTAATCATCTTTGGAGTAACCGAGATAAATAAGTACTCCCTGTCCCATAATATAAGATGTTTTTGGAAGCTAACATAGCTTGTGAAAAGTGTGCCAAAGTGTGTGTCTCTTCTTCTACCTTGAGCGTGTTTGTGTGTGTCTTGTATCCTGGGAAACCCAACAGGTGTTGGCCTGTGTAGAGTCCGAGGGTCGGAGTGCGAGGTTCTGCTACGATGATAGGCGGGTTGAGTGATTGTAACATCAGCATAATGGTGCCTGTGATAGGCTGGTTGAGTGATAAAACATCAGCACAAGCAAATTTGGTCATCGCCTCCTGTTACCTGATCATTTTCAGTTCCAATTCAAGTTCAGTAACCATCAAAACGCACAGCGAGTCTGAGGGCCCTCTCTCTCCCTTTCTCCGTCGTTCCTGCTGGGAGGGGCTGAGAACCCTAGGGCTTCGGTCCGATGGTGGTAGGGTTAGACATGAATTTAGTGTTAGCTTTAGTTCGGCGGTGGTGAGATGATGGCGGGGCCGTTGGCATGGAATAAGATATTCTCTCCCTTGTCCTTAATCAATGATATGCTTCTTCGTATCATCAGAAGGTGTTTAGAAGATGACATGTCCTTAGATCTGGTTCTCCAAGTCAGGCGTTTTCTCTATAAGTTTATCTTGATTGCGCTGTCCTTTGTTATTTGGCTCCAGCTCCAACAGATGAAGATTGGCCATTCTCAGCCTCAACGGAGAGCGTGTGAGAGTTGTTTTCCTCAACTGCATCTGGCTGAAACTGGGGCATTTTTCATGCCATCTTGGACATTTTCCTTTTCTTTTGAGACGGCGATTCGCTATGCAAATCACGGTCACCGACATTTTCTAGTCTACATCGACAATTTTCCAGCGTTTGCTTCTACAAGCTCTTGGGTTTAAACAGGTTTGCTCTGTTGTGACAAAGGGCCGGAGGCAGCAATGAGCTTTGCTCATGGCGCGTCGCTGGTGGATGCAGGAGGAAGAAACTTTGACCCCTCAAAGATTTGGATGTATTTTTCAATTTTTGTAAGTGCCTTTGTAGGAGTTTTTGCT